AATAACTGACATAAATTTTATGTACTAAAGTGCCATTTTCCGGCATCTAGAAGTCCCCAAAAATTTTTTCTCCTCTGCCTCAACCAAGATGGGGCTCAGGTTGATATACGGTAGTAATTTTCATAGCTTTTTTGTATTAAAGTTCCATTTTCCGGCATCTAACAGTCTCAAGCTTACAATTGTCTTAACTCAACCTCAACCATGATGGGCTGAGGTGGATAGAAGTTTTTATAAATTTTAAGTACTCAAGTGCCGAATCTCAGAGGTTCTTAAAATTTAGTCATCTGCGCCCCAAACCATGGTGGAGCGCAGGTGGATATCGTAGATTTTGTACTATACAAATGCTATTTTCGAGTATCTATAAGTCTCAAATTCTTATAATTTCTTCAACTGAGCCCTAAGATTGGACGGTGGGGCTCAAGTAGATATGGTAGTTTTTGGAATTGTAAGTATTTAAATGCCATTATCGGGCACCTTTTTAATTAATTAAAAATTGTCTCATTTTTTATTGGCGGATTTAAGGCTCTGACACACACCCCCACCTCCAATTAAAAAACAATAAGAGAAAACAATGGAAAATTGTATTCAGATTCCATTGCCATTTATGGCCATCTACGGGTACTATAATAATACATTCCTTATCTCAGCCCCAACCATGATGGGGCTGATGTGGATGAACCCTCTATCTGTGTAAATCCCTCTTTAGGTACCCCTCTATTTCGAATTCCTGTATCCGCCACTTTTCTCAAAAAGACGATTAATAGTAAACAAAAAGCGCTGTAAATACTAATCTTCAACATAAAGCATCACATTTTTTTAAGGATCTTATAAAGGTCGATCTACAATTGACTAGAACATTTAATATTACTGTACATGGGTCGCGGCTTGTCTGGGAAATAAATTGGGTCCCAGAGAAAAAAGTTCGGGAAGCGGGGGCTCTAGAGCCTCATGGAATAAACGCCTCCTTCGAAAATTTGTTGCTTGCTATTATATGTGATTAGCCTGGTTCACGTCGAACTTTATCTGGATATACCCGTCTTGAAACATGATACGATAATCCCCTAATTGCGTTCGATGCCAAGTTAGAGCCAGATAAACAGCCAGCCAGTTTCAGGCCGTCACGTCACACGGCGGAAAGGCTTGTTTAATAAAACATCTACTGTATTTTACGAACCTCTAGTACCAAGGGGTATTCGTTAAAAAAAAATTGTAAACTACTGTAGAGAAGGTGTGAGTTTCCACTACCTAACCTAGCCTACCAGTACGAACCAACGACAGTGCAACAGAGTGTTCTATCGCAATCTAAGTAGTAGATTCTCTAGGCCCAAGCTACATTTACCTTCGATAAAAAACGAATTATTAGCTAGCATTCTTCCATTTAACAGAATATTGTTTTCATTTTCATTAAAACGTATGTATACTTTATGGACCTTTCTGTCCTGTTTTGTAGTTTTTAGATCGCTCAATTGTGTTGTTTACATGCACTTCGCGAAAATCTCTTCGCGGTGTCAAATAAGTTGCTGACTTCCACACACTTTTTTATTTCGTCATCGTAAACATGTGCGCTCATGGCGTTGGTGGTAGTTCGTTGAAATTGAATTAATAGCGACTATTATAGTAGAAATGGAAAAGATTGAATTGTCAATAAATAAATACAACAAATCTGATTTTATTATTAAGAAAAATATACATTATCACTTTGAAAAACGTACGCAATCGGACTTTTTAACGTTATTACTTGGTCGATGATGCAACGGGCAAAGGTAATTGGTTATTTCGTAAAACGGACGTTTGCTGGGTTTTTACCTATAGTATTACAAATAATTTCTGAAAAACAGATTAATGAGACTACTTCGATGCTGTTCTTAGCATTGTTAAAGTACGTTGTTGCCAGCCAGAAGATGATAATGGTGGTATAATACAACAACGCTGGCTTAGATGCCTATGTTACGTAATCGTGTCCTTGTAATCCGAGCCGACTTTACCGTTAAGCAAGTTAATTTACCGTTATTCCAGTAAAGTTAAGTCACTTAACTTAAGTGTGATTGCGGATAATTGCCCTCGATGGCTCAAGCAGCATTAAAAAGTTGAATCTTTGATCTTATCCATGAATTTAATTATAGATTTGCCAAATAATAACTTTAGTAGATAAATAGAACTACATTAATTTTCGTATTGTATCCATTTGTTGTTGTTTTTTTTTTGTTCAAATATTTAAAGCATTTTACTGTCTTCCATGTCTTCATTGAATCCAGCAAGCAAAAATAATTCATTTATCACATGTTTGGTTTATGATAATAAAGCGTTCTTGAATTTTGAATCTTTTTCCTCAAGTATAAATAACTGTAAAAAAAATGTAATGGAAGCAACATCATTCTCAACACATTCTATTGGTGTTCTACTCCAGTAAAATTACATTTTTTTTAAACTGGTTGTAATCAATATGTCTCAATGATAACGCAATAACACATTTTGACTGTAAAAATATGTGGTAGTTTCACATTTACAGTAAAATTAAGGGGCATTTATTTGGGTGTATACGTATCAATTTTACAGCACCCCCCCCCCCCCCACCGACCAAAAAAAAAAAAAATAATGGGAAACCAAACTGTTGTTCCCGCTGCGCCAAACCACTTCCACAAGTATGTACGAAAGATACAAGAAAAGTTGCATAAAATACAAAATGACAAATCTTGTCATACACAATTTTAATTTGACAAAGGTACAGTACGTGTTGTATGTTGGCCGATGGCCTAGTATAGATGATTTTTCCTTGTGTATAATAGCGGATTTTTATTGAGTGTCAATCAAACTTAACAATTCGTCACCATTTTCACGAAGACCAAAACAGCGTTTTGAGAGAAAAACGCGTTTGAAGTAGACTAGCCCAGGGCCTGTTTCTGCTGCCAAAAAAATACCGTATATATATATATATACGGTATTTTTAAAATACGGTATTTTTTTTTGCAGCAGAAACGGGGTTAATAAAAATATACTGTATTTTTATACCGTATTTTTCCCCACTATTTTTGTGGAATTATTCCGGTATTTTGCAAAAGATACCGTATTTTTCATACCCCGTTTCTGCTGAAAATAAAAATACCGTATTTTGTGCCGACCCCTGACATAAGGTCAATAGCCAGAGCATAACGCGGGTTGTTTTGATTTTTCTGTCGTGGAAAAGCGAAAAATAATGCGAAATGTGGACTGAAAATACTAACGATATTAGCCAATACTAAACAACACCAATAATTTCTAGGCTTTAGCAGAAGTTGGGGTGTAAAACTTCCTTCGTTGCAACTTTTAATTATAGATAAAATAGATGAAACTAAAACACACACACACACGTTGCCCCAATTACACATGTTGTCCCACAAATGCACGTTTTTACGTACTGTACGTCGTACGATCGTCGGCCGACGAACCCAACTCTGGTGGTAAGCGCTGACGACGAGATGCCGTCTGCTGATTTTCAGTGGCTGTCTTCGTAGATCGTCATTAAATACGATCCTTGCGCGCGAGTCTATCTTGGCGTTGTGTTCTCTATAGAATCGGGTCGGCCGTTTCTTTTTTTTTTTTTAATTGTGCAACAATATCCAATGACCGGCTAAGCGGAAAGGTTCTTATGACATAACGTTGTCACGCACTAGCCAGACAAAGGTGGACAGATCCTGTTTGTGCATGGAGACTTCATGCTTGTGCTATGAATAGGCCTGCAGACAGGCATGACTCATTCTGACGGGCGGTGTTTACTGCAATAATGCATCAATGAGTTTTCTTTTTAAATACAAAGGGCTTAGGATTTCGACTGAGCAAAATAAATAATAATAATGATGGTATGAATAATATAAACCATGCTCAGTATGTAAAGTTTACCGGACGGGAATGTATCCGCTGTACGAACATTAACTCATTTTATTTTTCGCCAAACCACAAGGATGAATTTAGAAGCTTGTTGACAAAAACACATTCATCGTTAGGACCCTATGAAGTATTTTGTACTGAAAATACCTTAATTTTGTATCTATTGTGCTTTTATATGTTGACAGATATCCAATCTCGAATATGACCATATTTTTCTTCCCATTTCGTATCTGCCTGACAAATATTTTTTTATTATTAGGCCTATGTCATACTTTTCGTTATTTTTCTTACATTGATTAATATTCTTTCCTCTTGTTCTACCCACATCGTTTCATATTTTTCGCCAAACATTGTATCCTTCCACTTCTTCGGAAAAGCTAAAATTATACCATTTTATGTCAAAAAATCGATACATGTGCCATATTCAATTATAAATTGTTCATATGATAAAGTACTACCATCAGTATTTAGCAAATCTTTTACAACCGTTATACCCTTATCACATTAACTTATGTAAAAAATAGGTTCACCTTGTCTTTTAATGTGACTATTAAACCACAGCACTTTATTATGTAACAACTTAATAGTATTTATTTGCTTAAAATGTATGTCATGCCATGCCCGAACTACCTCTAATATAAACAAATTGTCAATTTTAACATTTAAGGTATTATCATTGGGAGAAAGATTACAATGTCAAAACAAATTTCCATCGATAGGTTTTAAAAATTCTTGCCAAATATCTTTCTAATGCTCCTTGTTATCCTCACCTAAAAATCTCTTTACCTATTACACTTTCTGGGCACGGCCAGACGTTTCCATTTTGAGTCCACTGTTTCTTTGCGCAGTTTTTTTTTTTTTAATTTATTTTGTCCCGTTTATGTTCCCAAATAAACTTGTATAGTACTTGATCTAAAGTTTAAAAAAAAGATATTGGTGGGTTACCACAGTAAAAAGGAAAGTAAGCTTAGGAACTATCAATGTCTTAATAATTGCTATCCTGCCTATGGTGTAAGGTGCCTCATGGACCATACACGTGTAAAGTGCCTTACACATCTATTCAGGTTCCAGTTCAGGTTCCGTTTTCAGTTCCGGTTCCTCGTCCGGTTTTTGTCAATTCTATTCAAATCTACTGCGTAACTGGCATCACGCAGACGTCACGCAGGCAGTACGAGGAACTTGCGTCACGAGTTGCATCGTATTGTTTGTTTTGAAAATTTTCTTTTAATCTAATTTTTTCGTATTTCTATTCGTAAGTTTGATATTTAGTTATTTACACATATTCTATTATAAGCCTATGTAGAATTTATTAGAGCTCAAAATACAAATCAGCTTAAATTAGGCCTATGATTAAGTGCACGGTACGTAGGCTAGGCTTACCGATGGCGTGAGTTCATTGACATCTGCCTTTCCTACATTTAAATAGTCTAGTTTTTGGTTCCTTCCATGTTTCAGACAAATAAATATGAACCATGCGTTACATATTCGGTATTGTAGGCACGCTAGATATAATTGAAAATTCATAGTCTTTTAATTAAATTCATATTATTATTTAATGTCATACTGTTGTTATTTTATAGACCCGTTTTCCTTGTCAGTGCAAATGGAATAGTTACTGTATGTAGGTTTCCTGCTTAAATTATTCTCAGCAGAACAAAAATGGATTCAAGTAGCGATGACGATGAACTGATTGTGAGTTTGTTACTTAGAAATGTGAAGAAAAAAGCAAATAAAAGATCTGTGTGGGTCAACCCTAACAACCACAAGAGACTAAAAATTGGTCACTGTCTCCCTGATAACAAACGATTTAAAATCAAATGAAGATCAGTATTTTGCCTATTTTCGGATGACGGAAGAACAATTTGAAACCATTTTGAACTTGATCCATGATGATATTGTTAAACAAGACACGCGGTTCAGGAAAGCCATCTCACCAAGAGAACGTCTATCTGTCTGTTAAAGGTATAAACTAATGTAAATTGTACACATATGTAATAAGATAACTCAACATAACACAATAAAAATGGATCACATTGGAATAAACAAAAGCAAAAGAGGCAATGCATTGTTTTATCTAACCAGTTTAATATATACATTCGTTTATTTACAGATTGTTAGCAACCGGTGACTCATATGGATCATTCCATTACAACTATAGAATGGGCATTTCAACAGTGTCAATGATCATTGTAGAAGTCTGTGAGGCAATATGGGAAAGACTAAGCGGTATTTACATGGTAATGCCATCATCACCTGACAAATGGGAAAAGTTAGCAAACGACTTTTACCTCCGATGGAACTACCCAAATAGCCTAGGAGCTATTGATGGAAAACATATACATATTCAAGCTCCTAACAACAGTGGCTCGAAGTACTTTTTTTTACAAGGGCACATATTTCATTGTCTTCTGGAAACATATCAATTTCTTCATAAATACTACTTCCATTAGACATTGGTTCAAGTATTACAGATGCCAGCTCCTTAAAAAATACATATAATATAGTGTATCCCAATAATATTACATAAATACATTACAGTATATCATTATAACTATTTAAATCTGTCACAATTTTTGCCTGATTCTTTTTTAATTTGGGTATTACTAAAGTGCGAGGCAGTGAGGCATGCGAGGCAGCGAGGCAAAACGACGATTCATGCGAGGCATCGTTTTACCATTCCCATTTTGTTGTTTGACGACTTTTTTTTAACGGATTTTGGATATTAGTTTTCCTTTTTGCTGATTTTGTGATTTTTATGTTCAATATGTTGCTGAGAAACTTTTGAAATGGTGTACATTTATGAGCCTTTGCATGTTGTCAAACAGTGGTGGCGCCTGAGGGGCTAGGGGGCTATAGTTCCCCCTAGCCCCCCCCCCTCGGAGAAGTATAGACCTCCCGTCGGGGAAGACAATACATTTTGTCGGGGAAAAAACAAATAAAAAAAAATATTTACATGTAATATTCGTTTAGCCACCATATATATTAAAATATATAAACATGTATATTAAAATTTCTTTTAAAAGGCATACACCTATTTTTTTTTTTTAGTTATTTGTTACTGAAAACTACCATGCTAGATAGTCTAAATCGACTCAATACAACCTCATATTCCTCAAATGTGCTGGGCTTCAAGGGGGCTTCACCCCCATGGACACCCACCAGGGGCTCTGCCCCTCCACCCCGCCGAGGGCCCTAGGCGGCCCCCCTGGCCCCCAGCCTAAGGCTGCTCGCTTCGCTTGCAGATTACCTCGCAGATTACACCCCCCCCTTTTTTTCTGGCAGGCTGCATCCGCCCATGCCCTCGGTGCTTCGTACCTTAGCTGGTCGTCCATCTTTACTTTGGCGCCCCCTCCCCTTTTGCTAAATCCTGTATCCGCCCCTGTAAACCTATATAAAATAACATCATTCAGCACTGTGTTAAGATTAAACTTAACAACAGAGGCAGAGGCAATAGCTGAAATATTTTCAGGAAAAACGCATACTAGGCGGCCTTTTAGTATACTATATAAACGTTCGGAGACAGATTGCGACTCAAATTACGACAGTATTAAGATAATTCAGTGCATTGGTTTAATATATGTTCTCATGAACATTTCGCTCATCAAAACAAATATAACGAATAGAATAATGCAATGTGTGTATACTTATATATGTCATAAACAAATAAAAACTCTAAGAAAATAATGTTGCTGAAACACTCACTTTACCTTTAGACTTTATTGGTACTTTAATTGCCTTTTTTTTTTTTTAAAGACTTTTTGTTTCATGTCGCATCAAATAAAAGCCAGTAATTGTAACTTGAATAACATTAAACTAATGCATGAAACGTGAAACTTAGGTTATGCATATTCATGCATATCAGCTCTTTCAAACTGATCTGAATAGCGCCCTTTCTGGTTTTTATAATATACAGTAAGGAGAGGATGTGGCGGTCGCTGCTGCCGGGGTGGCGATCACCCATTTCGCCACCCCCTGGATCAGGGAATATAGTATCATATTTAAGAGTGCATCTGGTCATCGTTTTCTGCCGTGGATAACATCGCACATTATTTTGGACGAGTTTTACCAAAATTTCAAGTACACTATAATGTGCAATGAATTATCAGGCCTGGAATGTATTAATAGCTATATATAATTTAAAGGGTAATCAGAATAATTATTAATAATATTAATAATACATAATAACATACTTTATTAATATTACATGTACAATCGAAAATAATTATTGCATGCACCCATTTTCAAAATATAAAATTAATTTTGACAAGCACGTAAATTAAATATAGGCCCATGGAGAAAAAAAACCCCAAAAATTCAGAATAATACTAGCACTTTATGATTAACTATATTTTTTTCTGCTTCTATGAAAGTATTTTATTATGCAAATAAACATTGAGATTTCAAAAGAAAATGCAAATCAAAAAGGCCTCAAAAGAGAACAGCAACAATTAAACTAATTAAATCACTGTTAAATGGGCAAAACAACTTTCCTTTTTAGTTCCTATGCATGTAATGCAATAGGAACTATTGTAATCACTCTTCACATTTCCTTTGTTTTTTTTAATGTGTGTAGTGCGTGTGTGTGTAGACATTTATGCAAATACGCATGCGTCAAAGAAAAGTTTTCCGACACTTTGTTTTACTTCGCGATGCGAAGTTTAATGTGAAGTTTCTGCAGAGTTCAGTCAGGGCTCACGCTAACCGATCGGCAAGTTGGCATGGATGGAACTATTTTGGTTTTACGGCAAAAAAAAATCAACTGCTGTAGCATAGGTATTTTGAAGAAGGCCTAAAATAAAACAAAAAGGTTTTAATACTTGCTGAAATACATGGACGTTTTTTCTGTTGTATGAGTAGTCATATGAAGGTACTATATCCCCGACAGTTGACTATGCAGCAATGTACCCTTTGAATGCAAATTGAAGACAAGTGAAGATATAAAGGCAGCCGACTGTCGGGTACATAACGACTATCTAACTTTCCACCGCTTTCCACAAAAACATTAGGCCTAAGCTAGGCCTAGTTCAGTACAGTAGTTACTGTGATGCGAGGGTGGCAGAGTGACGGCAGCAATCTAAGCCTAGCCTAGGGCCTAGATAGTATACGTTCTTGATCATCGTAATGAAAACTTCGGGTGACAGACGATTGGGCCCAACTGGTGTGGACGATCGGACCTAAGATAGCTTCAAATAAATAGTCCTAGTAGGCCACTGCCACTCCTGATATCGTTCCAAACTACTGTAAAATGAAATTACTGTATACCTAGCTAGGCCTAGGCCCTATGCCTA